ATATGTGGCGATGGAAAGAGAACTGACTCTGGGTGTTGAGCACACAATGTGATATATAGATGATGTATTACAGAATTGTATACTTGAAACCTATGTATTATAATTTTACTAACCATTGTCACCCCAATAAATTTTAATTAAGAAAAAAAGAAAATGGAGCTGAAACCACTAGAACCTATTCTCCCTCTGGACTCCAGTTATGTAAGCTAATAAATTTACTTATGCCAATTGTCTGGGGCTGTCTATCATTTGCAGTTGAAGTCATTCTGATGGATACCATACTCTATAAAAGGTGCCCTCCCTGGGGACCCTCAACAACCTTAACAGAATCTGTCTCCAGGAGCTGTTTGTCCATGTTCCTTAACCTCTTTTGGGCAATATTGCATTGGCTCTGGTTCTTAGTCTCTGTTCAGCCCCTGTGGAAGGGCTCAACTTGCCCTTTGCTTTGCTCCTTACTGACTCGCTCAGCCATGACTCACACAGAGTCCAGCTGATGGACATCTTGCCTGCCTGGAAGAGCCCCCAGGATTCCCATAATTCCCACATCCCAGGCCTCCTGGGACTGTTACCAACATGGCAGCTCTGCCAAGCCACAGTGTCCTCCAGGTGCTTCCAGCCCTGTTCCTGGGACCAATTTTCATGGACCAAAAAAGTGCATGTGTGGAAGTTTAGGAATGCTGCGATGCTCTGTTTATGCATCTATGGCTTTATGCTAAGGCCCTGCATTAGTTTCTAAAATGATGCCCTAAGACTACCAGTATCAGAATCACCAGTATCGTAAACACATGTTAAAAATGCAGATTCCCAGACAGGCTAAAGAGAATGCCTGAGATTAAGCGAAAGCCCTATATATATTTTTTACAGCCTCAAGCATGGTTTTCTCAAATTTTCAATTACTCCAACAACAGCTCAAGTTCTAGCCTCAAAGTCTGATGAAATAGACACCAAGGCAATGGCTTGGGGGCAGGGGGTGGGGGGATGTTCGGGGGGGTGTGGCAGGCAGGAGGCTGGGAAAGAGACAGAATTATGAAGGTGAAGGGAAAAGTGGGAAGTGTGATAAAAAGATGCTGGACTATTACAGATGCACAGTAGTAGAGCCATACCTAAAAGCAGACTCAACTTACGACAGCTATTTGTTTTCCAGTTTCTACAACTTTCACCTTTGTGCATCCACTACTAGCCTTTGTCTTCCGGCATAATTTGTACCCAGACATATCCAGCTTCATGATGGAACCCTCCACAAATCACAGAGTCAATGACAAAGAACTAGGTGAAAAACAGAATGTCCAAGATCCAAAGGAGAAGGCAAAGTTTTATAAGATGGCAATCTACATGTCACAAAAATTTTGCATAAGAGTTAGCAATTTCACAAATGTAAAATATATTTTCCTGATTCCACACCTCACCTCACCTCCCAAGTCCATGCCTGTTCACATTGCTCATTTCACGCTTTGCAGAGCTCTGTAAATTCCTTCCCAGGGAGACAGAGAAACTGACCCACCTCCTTCCCCCTTCTTGCGAAATACATTTTACACAGTGACTAACATGACAGAATGCAGACTGTATGGAAAACAATGCCTGTGACTTCTGACTGCTAACTTCACTCGGAGTTGGGTTTGGGGAGTTTAGACAGCTGGGGGGAAAAAATGTGTTCATTACCATTTTTTTTTCTTTTTCAGAAAATGACTGATGGATGGGAATTCAAAGTTTATTCTAGAATGCAGATCTATTCAAAATGGACCTTTGACAGGCCATTCCCTCAGACCCTCCTGATATTCATAGCTAATCCCCGTGTCTCTTTTATACCAACAAACCTACACATTCCCCCTCCTCTCCTGACCCCCACTACCCTAATTCTCATTGGACATTTTGACAAAAAGTAATTTCATTTTCTTGCTCACTCAGGGCAAATTAAATTAGTCTGTCTGGGATACTTGGCCATGTCCCGATGCAATGGGCAAAAAAATATCCATGTAATAGATTCTAATGATTGGATTTACTTTTGTATTCTAGTTTTTAAATTACATTGGAGATACTACATACAGTCCACTTATAATGCACAGGGCGTTCATGTTAGAGCTCAAAGATCAGGTGTTGCCGTCTGGGCCTTCTGGTCACCAACAGTGCCCCCATCTCTTATTCTCTAGTTTAGTGGCTCCCAACGTGCCTATGTATCCAAATCAATTGAAGAGTTTGTTAAAACTTCAGATATTCTGATGTAATCCAGACATAATGCATCTAACTTTCTGGAGTCCACTTTTCTTTTTGTTTTTCTCTTTTACAAGCTCCCTGAGTGGTTCTCATGCAGCCACCAGGAACCCATTTACTGAAGACATTTGGGAAGCCGGTCTCTGGTCTAGTAGTTCTGGAGCTTGTCCATCAGAAACACTTGGAGGCCTTAGTAATATCCAGATTGAACCCACAGAGATTCTGATACAAATGGCTGAAATTTCTAACAAGAGCCTGCATTTCTAACAAGTTTCTAAGTGATGCTAATGCTAGTGGCCTGGGGACCACACTTTTGAGAGCCACTGCCTCTAACCCAGGTTACTCGTGCACATGTTTATTATTCATTAGCATTTCTATTATATGGCCAGGGACTCGGCTTTGAGGAAGGAATAATCCTCTCACATCAAGGATAACACACCTGACCAATCATCACAATCATGGGAGTGCTTTTATTTTTTAATTTAATATTCAATTACTGGGGTTAGGCTTGAACTTCATCCCAAATCTACTGAGTCAACAGCTCCAGGATGCCCTGGGAATTTTACTGTTGTGAAGTAACCCAGAAGGTTCTGATTTATTACAAGGATCTAAAGCCATTGTCTTAGATGAACCAGACTTATGAGTACATGAAGAGCTTATACTAAAAATTATTTGATGTTTCTCTGAAATTCAGATTTAATTGGGCATCCCATATTTTTATTGGGAAATCTGGCACCCCCACTCACTAGGCTGTCTGCGCCAGGAGTTTGTTTCCTCTGTTTGCTCCCTCTTTTGCTTGGCACAGCCTGACTTTAAATACTGAAGGGAGTGATAGTGAGGAGTGAAACGCATGCAAACATGATGTGTGGGGTGAAGAAGAAAAAATGAAGATTTTTCCTCACAAAAGAACACACACACACACACACACACACACACACACACACAGGAAAATTCATTAATCTAGACAGCAGAAACAAAATCAGAAAAGAAAAAAAAAATACTGCATGCTAATGGTTTTTTACCAGACAGTTCGTCAATTACGCAGTCAAAAGAAACCCTGAGGAATAAAAAGACACCAAAGATACTATTAAAATGTTCCACGTGAAGCCATATATAATTAATCTCAAATAAGCATGGCTATGAAAACTCAAATACTTCAAGGTGCTGACTGAAAGGCGGTTAATCTACATCAGGCTTCGAAACTGATGCTTCCAGGTGAGTCCAGGTTCAGCCAGAGACAGGGAGATAATGATGTCTGTCCCTTCCCTGTTTTATTGGAAGCTAAAAAGCCTTAAACTGAGACTCTCCCAATGCATCAAAGATGAGAAGAAACAAACACATCATCTAGTTCCTGACAACAGCACATACTACTAAGAGGCTGAATCGAATGAGTGGAAAGAACAAACCAGGGAAGAAAAATTCACTGATGCAGAAGAAAAAAGATCTGGCAAACCATTGCACAGGTTGAGCAACCACCATTAGCACCATGATCCCCGCAAAGCAAGCAGCTTTCTCCTGAGGCAGTTTTACCATTTTGTAAGTTAGGGATCGGCACTTTTACTGCAAAGGACAAGATCGGAAATCTTTTAGACTTTGTAGGCCATACACTCTCTGCTTCACGTACTCATCCTTGCTGTTATAGTATGAAAGCAGTCACAGACAATATATAAATGAATAGACATGGCTATCTTCCAATAAAACTTTATTCACAAAAATAGGTGGTTGCTATCAACTGAATATTTGTGTCCCAACCCCCACCATTCATATGTTGAAAGCCTAAATTCCTAATGTGATGGTATATGGAGGTGGGGCCTTTGGGAGATAATTAGGTCATGAAGGTAGAGCCCTCATGAATGAGATTAGTGCCTTTATAAGGGAATGAAGGGGAGGGAGCCTTCTCTCTACTCGGCCCTGTGAGCATACAAATAGATGATATTCTGCAAACCAGGACGAGGGCCCTAACCAGACACCAATCTGCCAGCACCTTGATCTTGGGTTTCCCAGCACTCAGAACTGTGAGGATTATGGGTTTTTTTTAAGCCACCCAATCAACAGTGTATTTGTTACAGAAGTCTAACAGACTAAGAAGAGGGAAACATATTTGGCCCATGGGCCATAATTTGCCAACCTCCATCACAGGTGAGTGCACTTGGCAAGGAGAACATCATTAATGGATTCTATGAGGCACTCAGTGTCCTAATGGTGGATGCTCAATTAAAAAAAAATAAATAAAACAAAAAAAACAAAGACTCCATGAACTCATCAATATACATACAAAGGCAGTGTTTAAAGATCACCCCAAAGTGTAAAGACAGGAAATCAGGATTTTAGAAACATAAAGAAGTTGCTCATTAGAAATTCTGAGGCTATGTTATAAAAGGGAAAGAGAAGGAAAGAGGGGACCAAATGTCTTAGAACGTTTTTAAAAAGGTTCCCTTGGTGGCCCTGACATTCAGAGAGGAGTTGACTATATGGGGGGAGGGACCTCTTGCCAGTTTCTCTGACCTTAATCGGCTACTATTGAGAGTACATCATATGATAAGGCATCATCTTCCTTGATCAGGGAGGTTTCCTGAACTTCTCCATTCCCTAATTTTGCCTTTAGCATCCTAAGAAGTTTCCTTCCCCCAAAAGAAAAAACTAAGTTACTTTGGCATAAAATTTTATATTTTAAGCCCAGAAAATCTCACCCATGGTGCATGGAAACATAACTTCAGTGACCTCCTTTATGACGCTGGTAAATGTCTTTCCTCTGAGGTCTTCATGTCAGTCAAGAAACAAACAAGCACGCATTTTACACTGTATAATTTAAAAGCTTTATTCCCCCCCACGCACACACAATTCACAAATGGGTTCCATATTTGTTCAACTGGAAGTTTTTCTCTTACACTTGCCTTTGTCATTGACTATGTCGTTGTTAGGGAAATTGCTTTCTCATCAGGGGAAGGGTTAGATGTCATAGAGATGCTCTGAGCTACTCACAGAAATGAGAGGTTCTGGCCCAGCAGCCTCGCAAGGAGTCAGCGATTCCTTTCAGTTCAAGGCCAATCAGGCGGGGACAGTATAAGCTACGACACCTGCCCATTGTCGACACTGGCAGGCTCTTCCTTGCAGAAGCTAAAAAATGCAGCCTATCTGACCAGGAAGCCTGGAAGCCAGGTAATGCCCTCAGTGGCAGCCAAATCCCCTTCCACAATTCCGTGGCCTCATGCAGGAGCATTTTTAGCAAACAACTACCTTCTGCTTGTGTACTCTTTGCCAAGTGCAAGACTGGTCTTCACTCAAAAGTTCACTGTTTACACAGTTTTTTGCTTGTGCTTCAGAAGGCTGGTCTCTGCCTCTCCTAGGAATGGTGGCATCATATCAACAGAGGCATGAAGACCCAGGCAAGCACTGGCAGGTAGAGTGTGGGGACAGCGCTGCCGGACGTTCTCTGCGCGTGCATGACGGCGAAGACTGCGTTAGTGTGGTTGGTAGGTAACTCCACATTGCAGATCATTCCTTCACAGCAAGACCTACATTCCTGTTACAAACAGAAGAGGAGGGGGAAGGAGAGAGTGAATAATAGGAAGATGGAAGGGGAAAATGAAGAAAAAAGAAAGTTTTCTTGAGCTCTATCTGAGACCATACAGAATTAGAGTTGGTTATCCAGTCTATGATTCGTTCTTCCCACCTGACCCCCCGACCTGAAAGTAAGGACCATCAGGAGAGTCTTTTCATTTTAACTGTGATTTATGTGCATAAACCCAAGCATGAGCAAGGGAAAGAAGGGAAAGGATATATAAATGAGACTGTTAGATTGAGTCAACAAATCTTCTAAAGACTTGTAAGGAAAAATACTGAAACAAAAATGAAAGGTAAGAAAGTTTTGGATTAGATCATTGCTTTTCTTTCTCAGTACTATTTGTTAGGAGATAATAATGACTCTCTAACCACTGATTCCTATCATACAGCAGCAATGGCTTGTTAATTATAGCCGCTGCATGGTGAAAAATATTTGCTCCCTCACAGCACAAGGTGTTTTCAGGGGAAGCCATCTCCTGTCATAATATCGGGTACAATGCCTCAACCTGATAATCTTAGCCATTCACAGGGGTTTCCAGGATGGCTAGGTAAGATAAGGGCAGTGACTCTAAGGTGTCTTTATCAGTGGATTGCAACCCAGGCTGCACATCAGAATCTCCTTGGGGAACTCCTTGGGGAATCCTGATGCCCAGGACCTCACCCTGAAGTTGTTTCAATTAGTCTGGAATGCCCTCCACCACCAGCAGCACACCTTATAAAAGCTCCCCAGGAGGCTCTCCTGGGTAGCTAGAGCTAAACGCCTCTGGTGTCAGAACGATTTTCTATACATATAGACTAAATCAAATTCTAAAATCTGATGAAATTAACATACTTTCAAGTAATTTTTTTCAAATGTCTCATGATTCCAGGCATATAAAAGTAAAATGCTCATTTAGAATAGTAGAATGAGAAAATTAAAGCAATCCATTGACCTAAAATGTATCTATAGTTCCTTAAACTGAGGTCAATCTTTCAACCCCTTCCTTCCTCATTTAAGCAGAGGTAGTGCATGACACAAAGTTTTCTTAGTAAAAGGTGCCACCATTTTCCTCTTTCCACCTTCCAGCTCCCCTGTGCAGTGATTTCTGGCCACAGACTAAATAGGTGAGCCGGGCTCTGTAGTATTTGTCATTTTCTCATGGATGGTTTGCTCTTGGGCTTCCAGAGCTGACTTCAGACAATTTGCCCAAAGACCAAGATCTAGGATCCAGCTCTGGAGTCTGGGAACTATCATTTGTTTTTAGTAACATTTTGTTGAAGAACAGAAAGTCGTCAGCTTCTCTTTGGTCTCTACTGCATCACTGTAAAGGAATCTCTCCTCAAAGTATAAACATGTTCAAGTTACTACTTATCCTTCTTGCCTCCCCATATAACTATCACTAGCAACAAACCTTAGGACAGTAATCTCTCTCTCTCTCTCTCTCTCTCTCTCTCTCTCTCTCTCTCTTTCTCTCTCTCTCTCTCCCTCCTTCCCTCCCTCCCTCCTTACTGTATGTTCAGAATCTCGGCTGTGGTGGCAGCCAACAAAATGACATTCACTTCTTGAGGCACACTTTTTGGTGATTGATGTACTTCTTCCATGACTCGTAAAGTGATGAACTGTCAAACAGTACTGTGTATCTAGGCAGGAAGAAAAGAAAAGGCAACTTCATTTTTTTATATTGCAAGAGAGAAACTTAAAGCAATCATCTCGGAAATAACTAAAATTCAGGATGATACTTAGGTTTCTAGGCAAGAACTATAATGGTGGAAAACTTGAGAGTGTCTTGGTGGTATGTTTTTAAAGGCATTAGCTTCTGAAGCACATGTGTAGTTTGAAAAATAAATATAAATGACACCTATCCTTAGGTGTCAGTTAAAGCTGAGGAAAAACTGAACAAACATTTCATCAAATCACTAGGTCTACCCATTTCATATGAAAGTGTCAGTATCTTTGTCTCATCTTTCTCCTCTGACACACATGTTCTGTAACTAAAATAAAATGAAAATTGGTCACGTAAAATGCTATGGGTCAGAACATTTCTTGTTGCATTACTCAACATTTGTTTCTTATATATTGGTAGGCCCTGAATAGCAGGTGCTTCAAACTACACATCAAAGACCACCTTCTTACTCACCCAGTTCACACTCTAACCCTCCCAACATGCTTGACTTTTCCTCAAAGTATTTCTATTTTCTGCCTCTTCTTTCCTTGACACTACTTGCTCTGTCCCCTACTCCCTCTCTATAGCTAGCTCATATCTGCATGGAGTTATTCACTCACATTTTATTACTTAGGACTCTTTAAAGAAAGTGATTTCATTCAAAATCCTAGAACACTATGTTTTAGTTCTGCGTCTCGACTGTAGTTATCTCAGGCCAATGAAATGGTTAGTTTACTGAGAAGGAACTACAACAGGAATGCTAGAGAATGGGAAAAGAATTTGACTAAAGTTGAAAATACTGGACTTATGGAATTGCCTCTGTCACAAGCAAGCAAGCCAAATCATATCCTTTAAGATCATTTCCTTTTTATTTATTTTTACTATTATTTTTTAAAAAATGTATTGAGGTAACATTGGCTAACAACATTGGTTAATATAAATTTCGGGTGTACAACATTATAATTCGATATCTGTATACTCTATCGCTCACCACAAGAAGTCTGGTTCCCTTCCATCACCATATATTTGACCACTTTTACCCAATTCATCCTCCCCCCCACCCTCTTCTCCTCTGGTAACCACCAGTCTGTGGTATCTATGACTTTGTTTTGTTTTGTTAGTTCATTTGTTACTTATTTGGTTTTATATTCCATATATGAATGACATCATATGTTTTTTTGTCCTTTTCCATCTGATTTATTTCACTTAGCATATTAACTTTAAGATCCAGCCACGTTGTCACAAATGGCAATATTCATCTTTTTATGGCTGAGTAGTATTCCATTGTGTGTGTGTGTGTGTGTGTGTGTCTTTATCCATTCATCCATCAATGACACTTATGTTGTTTCCATATCTTGGCTACTGTAAATAATGCTGTAATGAGCATTGGAGTACATATATCTTTATGAATTAGTGTTTTCATATTATTTAAATACCCAGAAGAGGAATTGATGGATCATATGGTATTTCTATTCCTAATTTATTAAGGAACCTCTATACCGTTTTCCATCATGGTTGCACCAATTTACAATCCCACCAACAGTGTACATGTGTTCTCTTTTCTCCGCATCTTTTCCAATACTTGTTATTCCTTGTCTTTTTTATAATTGTAGTTTTAATAGGTGTGAGGTGATTGATTATCTCATTGTGGTTTTGATTTGCATTTCCCTAATAAATGACCATTTTTTCATATGTCTGTTGGCCATCTGTATGTCTTCCTTAGAAAAATTTCTATTCAGATCTTCTGCCCATTTTTTAATTGGATTATTTGCTATTTGTTATTGAGCTGTATGAGTTCTTATTCATATATATTTTGGATATGAACACTTTATCAGAAATATCATTTGCAAATATGTTCTCCCATTTGGTTTGTTGCCTTTTATTTTGTCGACAGCTTCCTTTGCCACACAGAAGCTTTTTAGTTTGATATAGTCCCATTTGTTTATTTTTGCTTTTGCTTTCCTTGCCTTTGGAGTCAAATTCACAAAAACACCTCTGAGACCAATGTCCAGAAGCTTAGTGTCTATGGTTTCTTCTAAGTATTTTATTGTTTCAGGTCATCCATTCAAGTCTTTAGTCCATTTTTCATTTATTTTTTGTGTACGGTGTAAGATAGGGTCCAGTTTCATTCTCTTGCATATGGCTGTCCAGTTTTCCCAACACCATTTATTGAAGAGACTCCATTATATATTCTTGGGTTCTTTATGTAAGTTAGTTGCCCATATATGTGTGATTTTTTCTGGACTCTAAATTCCATTCCATTGGTCTGTATATCTGTTTTTCTGTCAATACTATATTGTTTTGATTACTATAGCTCTGTAGTATAGTTTGAAATTTGGGAGTGTGATGACTCTGGCTTTGTTCTGTTTTCTCAGGGTTGCTTTGGCTATTTGGGGTATTTTGTAGTTCCTTACAAATTTGAGGATTTATTTGTCCTAGTTCTGTGAAAATGCCATTGGAATTTTGATAGGGATTGCACTGAATATGTAGATTGCTTTAGGTTCATTTTTTTTTTTTAGTAAAATGATGACAGCAAGTGCCCTGGTATTTTGATAAGGTTGCTGTAAGCTTCAACTAATATTAACAATAGTAAACACATATTGAGTGGGTACCACCAGCCACGTACTCTTCTAACATATATTCACTCATTCAATCCTTATAATAAGGCTTAAGATAAGTCATATTAATATACTCATGTTACAGATAAAGAAATTGAGGCACAGTTTCTTGCTCATGGTCACATAGTTAGAAGGTGGTAGAAAGTATGATTCTAACCTAGGCCCTTTTCTAGGGTTTGTGCTCTTACTCAGAACACTATTCTGCCTCTCTGTATACTTAATATTAAACTAGATGATGCTGTAACAGGCTCTACAAGAGCAGCTGACTTCTGAATGCAGAAGGACAGAAGGACAGGGAACCACTAACTATTTTGGAAAGGTAATTCAATTTATATTCCAGACAAAGAAGAATAAAAAACTGGTGGCTGCATGTGTTCATATACAAAGTCATACATGCTAAAGCAGCCCTAGACAGTAAGAATAAAAGCCAAGGTAAATAAAATCAGAAATGTCATTTTTGTCATATCCTGTTACACAGAGAACCTCCTTGAACAACATCAACAGACCACAGAAGTAAAGCTGTAAGATGACAAGGAAACCCAAGATGACAACGAACGGTAGCTGCAGGACTACTGGCCAAGAAATGGTTGACTATCACTTCCCTAAATAATGACAAACTGAAAAGTGAGAAATTATATCCTCAGTTAGAATTCCAGAAGGTTAGTATCTTGGGGGTTTGACTGGTGTACAGTCCAGAAGGTGGTGCCAAGCATGCTTGGAATGCAGGGTCACTCCATGTCAACCTCTTGAAAAGTTAGCTTTCCAGGGTGGACATGGAAGAGCCAACTTTCTTCACCCTTCCATTGCTGACATTTCCTGGGTGGTGGAAAGCTGCAGCTTCCGTCTTTTGTTCACGTTTCAACAGATGAAATTCTAAAACCCAGAAATATGCATACATGTTCCCATTAAAAATGGTTTTGATTAATGAATGACAAACTGGCGCATTATGCACAGACCTCGTCGGAACAGTGTTTGATACAATTCAAAAGAAGAGCACGGTCCCTGAACATACGGCTGAAGAAGAGGATGGACGTCAATGCCCCACTGTACTACTGCTCTCACCCTTACTGCCCAATTTTCAGGGGAATTTAAAGCAAATAGTTAAAGAATGATACCTACCCTCTGCAATAAGTAAAGAGAAACATCAGCCAACCTCAAAAACTTTGAAATAACTAGGTAAATTTCTGTGAAAACTCTGGAAACAAATCCCAAAATGTATACATTCACTCATGGACATGCACTCACGAGCATGCACCCAATTTAAGGTCAATCACTCTACAGAAAATTAAAATAACCCCAAGAAAAATATTTTGGTAATTAATTATTCTTGAAAAGAAAAATGAAAAGTATTGTCCCAGTAGATGTCATAACCATTCGTGCTAATTTATTGCATAAGATTCTCAGGCTCAGTAAAAGTCTCCAGTATGTACTATTCGATGGCTCCACATACTGGCTTTATCTCGAAGAGGTAAGGCTATTTCACTACTACATATAATGTGAGACAGAAATCTCCAGAAGATTCAAGGTAATAGTAGACCAAAAGTGGTAATCTCTAAGTGTGAGTTTGTTGGTTTTTCTTGGCCTTTTACATTGGAAAACCTAAAAAGAAAGTACATTCTAAAATCTAAAAAGTCTGATCTCCTATAGCTGTAAATAAAGTTTTCAATTCCACATCATCCATCAGCACATCCTGACTGCTTTACATCCATGTTTGTATACAGTAAATCATTCAATTTCTCACTCCCTTATTCCTACACCTTAAGCCATGTCACCATCTTCTCCACCTGAAAACAAGGGAAGACCCTACTTGTTTCACCTTCTACTATCCTTTCTCCATAAAACACCCAGAGCAATATTTTAGAACCAGCTAGCATCTTATACTCCCTAGTTTTAAACCCCCCGACAGCCTTCCCATCACATTTACAATAAAATTCAAACTCCTTATTAGAAAAAGAAGATCCTGCATGCCCTGGTCCTTACCTCCAGGAGAGTCTTTCTCCATCTCCCTATGCCTCACTGGCCAGACTTCTCCCTCTTCACTGAAGAGTTCAAATCTTGTCTCTTGTAGCCTTTGCCTCTGCTGTTCCCTCTTCCTGGCATGCTGTTCTTACAGATCGCCACATGGCTGGCTTGTTTTGGACATTCTGGTCTTATTTCAAATATACATTCCCCAGAGAAGATTTCCCTGACTACCTAATGAAAGGCATGCATTCATTCTGTCAACAAATATGTACCAAGTGCCTAATATGGGCCAGGCCCTAGATTAAACACTGGAAATATATCAGTGAAATAAACAAGCTAAAAATATACTCAAATGTTTGCCAAATGAGTGAATGAGTTTCCCAAGCATCAACGTATCTCAATAGGACAGAACCTTTCCTTTGTTTTGGCCAGTAAATATGACTTTTCTAGATTTATTATCGAGCATTTCTGAAATGCTTAGAATGCCTTAATCAACATTGTGATCTATTTGTTCTCCTTGGTAAATACCATTTAAGAATTTCCTCCTCAACATACAGATGGCCAACAGGCATATGAAAAAATGTTCAACATCACTTAGCATTAGGGAAATGCAAATTAAAACTACAATGAGATACCACCTCACCCCGGTCAGAATGGCTATCATCAATAAATCAACAAACAACAAATGCTGGCGAGGCTGTGGGGAAAAGGGAACCCTGGT